CCTAGGGGGGGGATTGTATAGGGATTTTAATAGGGATTTTATAACTTTTCTAAAAATAACAGGCTTATTTAATATATATTTTAATTGTTTTTAGATATTTATTGTATAGTTCCGTTTTTATTGCCTGTAAGCCGCCCTGAGTCCTTCGGGAGAAGGGCGGGGTATAAATTAAAGTAATAAATAATAAATAAATAAATAATTCTGTTTTCTATTAAAGCTGCTATTCATTTTGAGAAATGCAGTTGTATTAAATTCTTGCAGCCAAAATAACAATAGATTTAGTATAGCATATATCTTCTGGGACACTAGTTTTTATTCTTTTAGATTTCCCCTAATAAGCCAATTACATTACCTTCATGCAGAAAAAGCTGGAAAAGTGGAATATCAAAAGATAAATGGTTTGAATTACAGCATTTTGGGAAGAAGACAGAGAAATTGTGTATAGAACTGTATGAATTCTAAGTTAAAAGATAGTTCTCATTGACAGAATGAAGTAAAAAAAAGAGCACACTAATTTCCAATTTTTAATTTTTTCTTGTAAAATTGAAAATATAAAACCTGCTCAGCAAAGAGAAAACGTTTATGTACATGAGGTCTGTGAATTTTAAAGAAGTCCTTTTATAGTCAAGAAAACATCCCATGAATTAACTGTGATTAAAGGGACCAGCAGTCTTAAATTGAAAACATACTTCTTAAAAAAAAATCTTTACAAGCATATTTTATAATTTAAATTTATATTTTACTCAAAAGGACTTACACATCAAGCAGTTTTAAATGGTCCTCCTTCTCCCTTAAGAGAATCAGTTTCAAAGTGCCACAACAAAGGAATAGATACCAACAAATTACACAGTATATTCCTTTATAAAATAGATTGGTAAATGCGAGCAGTTGATTTAAATGAACACATAAAAGGTTGCAGATTAAATACAATCAAGGTAGGTCAACAACAATTCTGTAAATACAAAAGGCATTATAAGCATGGTAGACAAAGTAACAATTTAAGATAGACTTAGGTATCTGTGTAGATGGGAGGAATGTGATTTAAACAGTGATCAAAAGTGCCATTTTGGAAAAATCCATTATTCTCTTCAGTTCCATTGATAACTTCTTCTGATATGCTCTCTGCCTCAGAGATGACTTCATAGCCTGGAAATATGGTAAGCATATGAGATATATGAGTAACTATAAAGTAGCAAGAACAATCTGAATTGCAGGCTCAGACTAAATACGTATGATGCTCTACTGTACGTCCCCCCCCTTTTTTTTAATACAAAAGGCCTCCTAAGTTGTTTAGCAAGAAAGGGATGGAAGTTGCTTAACTCTTCTGCTTCCTTCCATCTGTCTACTGCAAATCTCCCTCGTTCCCTCTGGTTATCAGGAAGAAAGACGTGCACAACAAATAAGTAAATAAACAGGTGTCCAACAGCTTGGTGGGCTGAAATGCTTGTTTTATATTTCCCACAATTCCTGGCTGCCATAACTAATTGTGCTAGTTAGGAACTTGAATACTGCACTCCCAACACATCTGAAGCACATCAGATGGGGGATGCTGCCCTAGAACTTTAAAACTAATTGGTGCTTTAGTCTACACAGAAAACAATATTATAGCTTCCAGGAATGTGTAATGATGATAAGAATGGCTATTATTTCTTTCTACAGTGCCATTCAATCTGTTAACATGTTCAGTAACCATTCAACTTAAATGCCTACACATGTCATGACCTTGGTAATTATTCTGAATTACCAAGGATTGGTCATATATCAAATAAGATGTCATACTATTAGAAAGTGGTGACGGTTTCTTATGTTCTGGATCAAGGCATGGAAACAGAAGCTTTCTAAAATGGATTATAGTGACTGGACTTTTTTTTAAAAAAAAAACAACAACAAGTTTTATTAATTTTCCAATTTTACAAAGCTGCAAGTGTTAAGGAAGCAATATGGTGATTGGGTAGTCCATAATCAAATAACAAGCTCTTTCATGCATATGTCAGGTTACATCATCAAAACTTCCTCTCTATTTCCCTTAGTTATTGTATCACATTCAAATTAATACATTGCTAGTTATAACTCAGTCAGTTAAGACATTTATCAATATATTTTGTCTTATACACCTTCATATCCTGTTTTGAATTTTACCTAATTTCAGTTACAGTATTCCAGTTAACATAATATCCATAATCTTTAGATTTCGGGTGGCCCAAAGTTCCCTTAGTTCATTACAAAATAATTGTCATATCTAAAATACATTTATTATTTACTCAGATAGCTTCTTACTTTATTTCACAAACATATTCAATTTCTCTTCCTAATACCTCAAACCTTACTAATAAGATAACCTTTATCATCTCAATCCAACTTCTATATTATAATCCAAAACTATTATTGTAGTAACTATTTTTTTATTTCCCTTATAGATCTAGATCCTAAATATTAAATCAATTAGTATCTTTTAAATTCTCCTTAGGCCATTGAGTGAGATTTTAAAGAGATTTTAAACTCTTCTATTATAGGTCACATAAAAAAACATTTTTAAGTCTAACTCTAGTTTTCTTTTTGTGCCAAGCAGGCTTCCATAGTAGTGCCTCTAACTCCTCAGGTGGCTCTCCCTTCATCCCTACACATGTCATTTGGGTCAAGGGAGACCATCCAATTATCAATTTTTCAAAAGACCTGGCCTCTTCATAGTCATTAGATTGTTGATCCAATAATTCAGGTCTCCATATTTGGCTCAGTACATCTGTCGTCAGTTCAGTCTGGTCCTCTTTTTCTTCCGGTTTCAGCTGGTTTAAGTAGAAGGTCATGTTCAATGTTATAGTTGTTATTTAGTTGTCTGGTTTATCTGGGTTCTAAATGTGCTGTACATGTAAATCTTCAGCACCTTCCATCTTAGTGTTGCTTTCTTCAGTTTCTGATGCTGTTAAAATTGCAGGTTTTTTGGTTAAGATCAAGGTTTGGGTATCAGGGTTCTCAGTAGGTTGTAGCTGGTATATATTAATTCCTTCCTCTTCTATTGCCTTTTGGATTGTAGGTTCATCAGTTGGAGTCTGGGCTGCATTTTGTAGCTTTGAAGTGGCGCCTTTATTTTTCAGTCTGGAATTCATTAGCTCAGTAGCCTCAAGGATTTTTTCAAGTATCAGATTATAGTTAAGTTGTGGATAGTATTCCTCCATTTCTATGATGTTTACAGATAGTCCTTTAGTGGAGGCTATTTTTGATAAAAGACAATAGTGTTCACCTCCATTATAGAGAGTTGTTTTCACCATCCAGCTGTTTCAAGTTCTTATCTTTTTTGATAGTGCCAAAGCCAAATCTTAGTCTCACAAGTTTCCCAGTCAAAGAGAAATTCACTTGCTGTACCACATTTCACCACAAGATGTCCCCAGTGACATGTAAAGTCTTTCTCAAACTCAAGTTAGGCTTTTATATGGTTTGAAAAAATAACCTTTTTTTTCAGCTTAACAGATAAATAAAGTAATAAGTCCTTGTAAGAATAGGAAGCTTTTGGGGCCCCAAATATCCAAAAATTACAAGTCCAATTATTTAGTTGTTTAGATTAGTTGTTCTTTTTTTCCCCATAGCTTTATGTTCCCAGAGTAGGCAGAAGCCGCCAAGTTAGAAAGGGGGGAAAATTTCCAAAGGCTTTTACAGTAAGGTAGTTGGGGTGCAAGAAAGGTAAGGTCTCATCCAATTCCTCCACATTGCTTTCGTTGTGCTTGGTAGTGCTTTTGGCTTTCAGCTGGTACAGCTTAGTGATCGGCCATGTTAATGGCCGATCTTTTCTTTGTCGGTCCAAAGGAGCTGCCTCGGATCAAACGGAAGGGCTACCGCCCTTCCGCGATCTAGCGAGGGTCCTCCTCAGCGGTGGTCACCCCTCCAGGGTGACTTTCGACCCTTTCCAGGGTCTTCTGACGAAGGAAAACCGGACGGTGGAGAGAGCGCTCTCTCCGCACGTCCGCTAGCGCCACAATCCGGAACCGGAAGCCTAGTGACTGGACTTTTGATTTTGGTGGTGGTGGTGTTGTTCTTTAAGTCTCTGAAAAATATGCATCAGTAACAGCAAAATGCTGCTGTTATAGGACTGTCCTTTTTCAGTTTGGATTGTTTATTAGTGAACTGTTGCCTCTGCATTTCACAACTTCATACCCCTGCAGCTTTACTTGTAACAATCAAACATTTCTGAAGAACAATGTCTGTTTCTCATTAAATTCCTTCTTTTGAAAGATCTAATTGTTAAGTTTTCTCTTCTTTTATGCCTGTAGAAACCAAGTACGTATGTGCATACATACATACATACAGTGCTTTTTTTCTAAAAAAAAAAAAAAAAGTGCCGGAACTCACACATGTCATACAACCCGCCTTGCCTACCCTACAAGATTCCATCCAAAAAAGGTGCCGGAACTCTGTTCTGGGCGTTCTATGAGAAAAAAAGCCCTGCACACATACATATATACCATACATGAGTCTGAACAACTTCTGCTTTTTTCTGTTTTTAAGAAGAGATTGGCAACCATTTGTATGGAATGATATAGTGTCTCCTGCCTGAGCAGGGGGTTGATTAGAAGACCCCAAAGATCCCTTCCAACTCTGTTATTCTCCTGTACTGAAGAATGTGCTGTAAAGGAGCTAAGAGTATCAGCATTTTAATTGTAAGATCTTATTCCTAGGCTATAATTTACATTAAATGACAGAATTATAGCCAAAAATTGTTGATGCCAGACGCTCCAGCCTAAGCCAATCATGTAAAGATGTGGGAAGGACAAAGGGAGGAAAGCACACATCTGAAGATAAAAGGTGAAGATGGGGTTAAGGAAAGTACATGGTTCTGGGACTTTTTCCTGTTTCCCATAATTTCCAAACCATTTTTTCATTTCAGATCTTTTTGGAGAGATTCAAGTTCAGGAGAGATTCTAAACAGATAGCTACTGAAGTGAGAGCCACTCAGTGCTGAAAAGCATTAAAAACTCCACATGAATAAATTTGAAAATAAATTCAAGCACTCTTCTCTTTTTAGAAACTCTTACCATTCAAATTGTCAAAAGGATTTAGTTAAAGAAATACCCTAGACACGACTATAAACTATCCAAAGCTCTGAAATGGAAGTATTACTTCCTGACCATTTATAAGACTCACAGAGCAGTGCTCTGTTGTTGTACATAGCATTCCTAGTAAATATGCTCTTATGTAACATTGGTACTATTAAGAATCCAGGGGGAAAAGACAGAACAACTTAAATAAAGTCTCAGTGTGTCTTATGAGAGCAAATGATCAAATATGGATGTTAAAAGTTGCTTTGAAGGCTCCATCTTATGGAACTTTGTTTTTATTTATGGTAATGGCAGCAATACTTTTATGTGGTCAACGGTAGAAGGACGTACAAATATCTATAATGGAAGAATGGATGGTGAAGCTGGTGGAATTTGTAGAAATGGTGAAAGTGACAGCAAGCAATTAAAAAGACTTTAACAAATTTAATTTCTACCTGGAAATCATTTTTGGACTTTTTACAACAAATTAAAGGAAATGGAAAGTTTATTTGGGGATTTGATTATTAGAATTACATGGGATTATGGAAATAATGTACACAAATATTAATCTTAGAATAAGAGTTTGATATATTTTTACTTACATCTGTACTAAAGAAAATCATGTTCTATTTTTTTCTTTTTATTACTCTTACTATTTTAATAAGATTTAATATAATTAATACGATTTTGACTATATTGTTTTTTTTCTATTTTGATCTTGCATTTTCACTTTTTTTCATTCCTGAGCTTTTTCTTTCTCCAAATCTTTTTTCTGTTTTTCTTTTAAGGTGTTTTTTTTTTGAAAATTTATACATGCACACCCACACAAATTTCTCTTCAATGATCCCTCACAAATTACCAAAGGAAATTAATATGAGAATTTATATTTGCAAAAGGAATAACAATAAGCAGAGAAAGAAGAGGGCAGTGCTAATATTCAAAGCTACCCTGATAGGCACAGATTTTTTCCTCTGTCTGTAGTGAGACTATATTGAAGTCAACTGACATATGACTGATGGACAAATTTGGTTTGGTGAAAATTTTTCATTAAAGTTTTCATTCTACTAAAGAGAATCTCCAGTGAATCATTCATGAATATTGGGGATAGTCTTGAGAAAGCTGGAAGGAAGTTGAGAACGGGAAAACTGTTTCGTTCAATGCAGTTTTAAAATCATTATAACCTGTACACTAAAGTATTTAATCAAACTACCCTTTTAAAAAACTGACAGGATCTTATACGAATGTGACATTTGACTAATATTATAAAGATAGACATTTCCTTTATGAATGTTACTGTAAATATCCTTTAAAAAATTGCATGTTTATTTCTGTAAAATGAATGCTTTTAGCTTAAAGTCAGGTAGAGTCAAGCTATAAAACCAAGCAAATATTTAAATAAATGTATATCACTGCCAATTTGCAATTCTTTCTAGTATATTCCACTAATATTAGACTGGAGCAGATGTGTCATACTAATGCAATGATATCACAGTATCTGTCCGATTCAACTAAGTCACCCTTCTCTCACATAACTCTAAAATACATTTATTAGTTTCAACCTTGATAAAGCTCCTGTGGTTTAAAAAGAGACAATTAAAAAACCCCAGTTCAGAATCCAGGGGAAAATGTGACTGATCTTGTGTCTAAAAATGTAGATCCTCTATCCGTAGTGTTTTTGTTAAGGAAGAATGTCCAACTAAAATGATAGGAATATAGTCTAAATCAATTACCCGTTGAAGCTACAGGTGCACTGAGGATGTGATATCCATTTTGTCGCAGAGGGTTACAGCAATGAGATTCTCCTGATAGCACATCACTACTGAAAGATGAGTCCATTGTTCTGTAGCAATCTCCGTAGTGGAAGCAGTTTTGTATAGAGTGAAAGCTACCTTGGTAACCTGCAAACAGAGAGTGTTCAGACATTTAGAAGAATGCAACCTTTTACGTGAGCAAAAGCCAGATTCAAAGTCTGGCATCTGGCAAACACCCATTGCCTGATTTGGTTTAGCAGCACAGCAAATGAATCAAGAAGCATATTGCCCTTGATCAGCATTCCCCAATGGGCCACTATTGCCTAGTAAAGTTTTTAGCTACATGAACAGGGATGCTTTTATTCCATTAATACCAAATATTTTTCTCCTTTGCAGTGCAATGATGTTTCAGGCCAGAGTTGTCTAATATGGTCAGCTTCATCTCTGTTGGCCCTCTATTTTTTTTTTATTATAATGGAACAGCAATTTTGGTTTCAAATTATTTCTCTTTTTAACAATTCCTTCCCTAAATTGCTGCATTTCATCCAATATTTGAAGTTAAGGCTCACAGACTTTCCCATTTACCATAACTATTATCTGCTCTGTTCTCTGCTTGTATGTTTTTAATTTTTACCTATTGTTAACATTTGCAGTCATAGTGGACTCTTTAAAAGGTCCAACACAGAAACTGAACAGCTGGATGAGATTTTTTTTTCTTTTTCAAGAATGATGTTTGGCAGTTACAATAGCTGGGTTATAAATTGGCTTTGCCAATTACAGTGTTTCAGAGTGATTGCAAGTTACCCTGTGGAGAAGAGACAATCCAGTGAAACCTTTTTGTAGTTGTTGTTTCATGATAGCATCTCTACCGTGAGATTTTTGCACAGAGGTATCTCCCGCTTAAAAAGAATATTCCTTTTGCATAGAAGGATTTTTTTAAAAATTTTTTTTTGTTTTCAGGCTATCCAAGCAACTTGACTGTTCTCATTTTTCCTGAAAACATAGCTCCCAATATACTGTAAGAATGATTCAATTTGGTTAACTCTTCAAGATTCCTCTGTCTTCAGAATTAATACCAATGATGAGTGATGTCACAGTGCAGAAGGGAAGTTTCAAATGAGCCTTGCCAGCACTTAACCTAGTTATATCCATCATCAACAATGAACTTTTTGTTTTTGTTATTCCGTTTGTTTTTAACTGCTCACAATTTGTTGGCCTATGTACCTTTCAAAACGTATTTGTTTTTGTTATTCCGTTTGTTTTTAACTGCTCACAATTTGTTGGCCTATGTACCTTTCAAAACGTAATAGATGGTAACAGTAGGAGGTTAAAGTGACGTTCAAATCCTACAGCTATAGTGCAATTAACCACCACATGTGGTTTTGTGCAGAAATCTGAAGACATTTCTAAAAGATCCATATTTAAACTCTTAAGGGACTAAAATATGAACCATTCCATTAAACTGTGTACAATAAAATGACTATCATCCCCCGCCACATTTCCTTGTAAAAAAATTCACAAAACATTTCTATTTGTGTTAAGAACTGTAACACATTTTGGCAGCTGCAGCTAAGCTTGTCATTCACACTGCCACCAGCACAAGGTCCAACCACGTGGATTGCAGGCATTCCTTCAGTTTCTCAGATTTAAATCAAATCTGTGGCAACTAATTTCCAAAGAAGAATTTCCTAAGCATACTGTCGGTTTAAATGATCACTGTTAAATATTTTATGTGGAATAAAATATAGAAATACAACAGTTAATAAAGGAATCAACTATGTTCCAAACTTAACATTCAGCTATAATTTTGCTATATGTGATCTATATATAAAAAAAGCTGTAGTTAACCACATCATAAAGTATGCTGGTTGCTCCTATTTCCCTCAAGCTTCAGCCAAAAAATCTGAAGCAATTTCAAATGAGTGATAGAAGGAGTAGAAGTATTGGAATATGCCTCCTAAATGCCAATTCATTTGTGTCATTCCTTCTAATGTATGAATATAAATAAGTCAAACTCGTCAAATTATATAAAGTTTCTATGCGAAGACATCACGTAAGATATAAATAGTTGTACTATTTCATTTGATCGCCAAATTCTTTCAATTTATAATAATTTCCATCTGGATCTTACTTTAGTTAGTCATAACCTTATATTCTACTGGAATTTTGTTCTCAGCCATTGTCCAGGTATTCATATCCCTAACATGTCCGGAGATAGTTTGTTTGAGTTATTGTACCAAAAACAGAGTAGAAATACAAATACGCCTTTTCTTTTACAATGACTTTATAATTGATTTTGCAATTGGATGACTGTTCTTCATAATTTTTCGGCTTAAACTGAGTATTTATGTCTGCTAGCAGACACTGATTAAAAATGTATTCAGCTTAAGATTTGAAAGTATTAACAGAAACAAAGTGAGATTACCACAAATGACATGTTGGTGTTTGTCTGAGTTGACAATTACTACTTTTAAAAAAACCCTACGACACAGAACAAGTAGGGAAGTGCGGTCTTCTCCAAAAGCCTCAATTCAGGGTATTTTTTTCTTCTTCTGTTGCACTCACAAGCAGCTAAATTTTATCCTTGAGGTTCCATATTACTAGCTTTTAGTGATGCATTTCAGATGTGTTGGAGATCATTTCCATTATCTCAACCAATCTGTTGGATTGGTAAACCTGCGTATCTCTAAATTGCCAGATTGAGATAATGAGTTTTGTTTATTATTAATTTTTTTTAGCTTTCATTTATTACAGCAACAAATAATGTGCTGCAACAACCTCCATTTTCTCTTTTTGATAGCTTAGTTATCTTTTCATTGACAAAATGTAGTTTATTAATGTAAAATATATTATAGCCTCAGGCTTTTGAATTTGGATATGTCAAAAGCTTGAATTACCTTAATGAAACAAAGGCAAAACCTACTTTCATTCTGTCAATGCGCAATGGGGAAGAGAAACAGAAGGTCATGCAGATTGTAGCTGGAAAAGAAGCCTTAAGATTGTCCTCAACTAAGCGTAGTCCTCAACTTACAACCACAATCGAAACCATAATCTTTGTTGTTGAGAGAAGCAACCGTTAAGTGAGAGACCACATGACTACTTTGCTCAACAACCACATTTTTAGCACTCCTGGTTGTAGTTGTTTAGAAAACGTGTGGTTTGTTAAGTCCCAGGTAAGGAATGTTGGGGTGAGTCAGGGAGGTGGGGGAGATCCTAGAAGGCTCCACCTGGTGCTGAAAAACTTTGCAAGCAGGATTTTCAGCACCAGACCCAGAGAGACACTCATGCATGACCTACGCTGGCTCTCCCAGGATCTCTTGCACCTTCTTGAGGCAGCCCGCACTCCGTACATTACTACTCCTTCTCTGCACTGGCATCTGCTGAAATTCAAGCACACAACTGCTTAGGAGCAATGGGAAGTCACTGAAATAAGTCTGCAAAGGAGCCTTGTCTTCCAGCAAAGAAACAGTTGGGAGAACTGCTTTTTCCAAAAGTCCAGCTACTGCTACTGTGTGGTGCCAACTTTTCTCCACCTCCCTCTTCCTTTTCATCCCTTTTCGTTTTCTCCTCGCCGTCTGGCTGTTCTCCCTCCCTCTTCCTCCTCCCTTCATCCATCCTTTATTCTGCTCTTTTCACTCACTCTCAAACTGACCCCTTCTCTCTCTTTTACACATGCACAATTTCCTTCTCCCCATTCCTGCACAGATTCCTAGAGTAACAGGCAGCACCAGACAGATTGGATTTGGCTTGACCTCCTGAGGGTTAAAACCATCCTCCTAGAGAGGTGGATCTGTTTCCTCTCTCAAAATCCCTTTGATGGACTTGCTTCCTTTCTAGGAATCAGCTCTTTTCCTCTCCTGCTCCCTCCTGCTCCACCGTGTTTTTCCTGCTATCCAGGCCAAAGGCACAAGTGCTGTTTCAAGGGGAGAGGGGAGTTGGCATTTCAGCAAATTTCTGCCACTCCTAAACAATTGCACATATGTATCCCAAAGGCAACTGGACTTTCTTGTTTTTCTTTGAAGATGTTTTGTTTCTCATCCAAGAAGCTTCTTCAGTTCTTTGGGATAACTATGACCTGGATGACTGAGAATCTCCATAGACAACTGCACATATGGAGATTTAGTCTGCTTGGATTTGAAATCTTCCTATGTCTTAGCTTTCTGCAAGTTTAGCTCTAATCTGGTGCTGAAAGATTTCTTATACAAAAAGACGTTGAGCTGGTTACTAGTATAGTTTCTTGTTGATTCTGTAAAGTTTTTCCCACAAGAACAAAGATAAATGGAAGGTTAAGAACTAGCTGTATTTCCAGCCACAATTTAACTACTGAATCAATATAGCAATGTAATTTCTTACATGCTGAAGTAATTGTCTAAACTGGTTCTCTATGCAGAAAAAGTAGAGTATAAAATCTATTCATGTAACCAGTGAAGGACAACAAACATAATTAAAACCATACTAAAATTACTCCAACAGTAATTAAGTATTATTAATGAGCCAGACGTACGTCTGTTCTCACAAATTTTTGGCATACCCCAGAAAATTACTAATATTTCTGATAAAATCTGAAGGTTCTGAACAAATCCATGGTCCATCTATGGTTTGCCTGAGTTGCAAACACCTGAACTAGGAAATTTCTCCAGTCAACCTAGCTTAAGGTCAACTAGATTTCTGTAGTTGTGCTCATATTGCACACTTATTCCAGGTTAACTTTACGGTATACTCAACGAAATTTTCTGACACACTGAACATTTGTTATATACTGAATTAAAATATTCTTGGCTGGTTAATAGTTCAGGACATCATGCACCTACTCCTCAACCTTTTTACTTTTTTTTTGCTGGGAGATGAAGCTTTTTTGGAAACCTATGTTAGCTAATAACTTGTATAGACCTCTTTAACTGTTACTAAACCTGTCCAAAACTAGGCTAAAAAAGCAGGTTCACAAAAAGACATAAATGGGAAATGGTATACTCGAACTAGGATTTTTGCCATTTGTGATAAATAATAATAATAATGATAAAGTTGGAAGGGACCTTGGAGATCATCTAGTCCAACCCCCTGCTCAGGCAGGAAACCCTATACCATTTCGGACAAATGGCTGTTCAGTTTCTTCTTAAAAACTGCCAGTGTTGGCGCGTTCACCGCTTCTGGAGGCAGGTTGTTCCACTGGTTAATTGTTCTAACTGTCAGGAAGTTTATCCTTAGTTCTAGGTTGCTTCTCTCCTTGATTAGTTTCCATCTGTTGCTTCTTGTCCTGCCTTCAGGCGCTTTGGAACATAGCTTGACTCCATTTTCTTTGTGGCAGCCCCTCAGATATTGGAACACTGCTATCATGTCCCCCCTCGTCCTTCTCTTCATTAAACTAGACATACCCAATTCCAGCAACCGTTCCTTATATGTTTTAGCCTCCAGTCCCCTAATCATCTTTGTTGCTCTTCTCTGTACTCTTTCTAGAGTCTCAACATCTTTTTTACAACATGGTGACCAAAACTGGATGCAGTATTCCAAGTGTGGCCTTACCAAGGCTTTGTAAAGTGGTATTAATACTTCACGTGATCTTGATTCTATCCCTCTGTTAATGCAGCCTAGCACTGTGTTGGCTTTTTTGGCAGCTGCAGCACACTGCTGGCTCATATTTAAATGATTGTCCACTAGAAATGCAGACTCCTTTTCAAATGCTAGATAGATACGTAGCAGTGGTAAACTGTAGCATTCAAGAAAACATCCGTGAAAAATTGAAGACATCAGTGGTTGCTTGCTCTTTCATTATTTTTCCTCATTAGCATTTATGTGGCGACTGCATTTGAATGTGTCAAACTGTGTACTTCACTAGCACTGCATTATCTCACAAAGCGTGGCTACTTCTACCAGTAAAAATGGATTACTATTTTTATTACAAAATAGAAAAATACATTTTCCATTTACTATAGTCAATTGTGCCAATGAGAGGGCTGAGGTGGCTCAGCCATTAAGATGCTGGGCTTGTCAGCTGGAAAGTCAACAGCCCAGGTTCGAGACCTAAATGCTGCGTGGCAGGGTGAGCCCGTTATCTGCTCCAGGTAGAGTAGATTAACAGGTACCACTTTGGTGGGAAGGTAACAGTGTTCCATGCCCCTCGGCATATAGTCATGCTGGCCACATGATCACAAAAGCATCTTCAGACAATGCTGGCTCCCTCAGCTAAGAAATGGAAATGAAACCGTCCCCTAGACTCGGACATGACTTTAATTTTACCTTTATTATGCCAATGACGCTATCGATACTATTTCTGCTTCATATGAAAATATAAAATATTTGCCATTTCCTAAAGCATGATGTAAATGATTCAAATGGTTCCCTCTAAGCTGGCGCTGATCAGCTTGAGTGACATCTCCAATAAGGGAAGCACAGCTCCCATAATCACTCAAAGCCCATAGCATTTGGGATTATACAAGCTGCTGTCAAATGCCAAATTTCATTTCAAATTAAACATTATGAGAAACACAGAGGACCCGCTGAAAACAGCAAGCTCATGTTGCTTTCCTGTTCATGAGGAATAATACAACAGGCTATACAGTCTAAAGTCATTACATTTCCCATGTCCCCATCTTTTATCCAGATTATAAAATGGCAAAGATGGATCTTGCCTGACATAATTATGTCAAGGCACAGTATAACTTTCAATATACTTTGGTTGTTATGGTTACTTTGGCCCTGAGAGTGGATTCGTGTATGCGTTTTACATTTCTTTATGCATGGTGCATCCTTCTATAAATATACAGTATAGAATTACCTTGTGGCCCCTGCTGCGTAGAATGGCTTGGAAACGGCAGATATAATTTATTTGCTGAGAAATGATGCCCATTTGGAGACTGGCTCTGTGATGGTGATGAGCTGTGTTTCTGAAGGAGGGAAGGAGCAACTACAGCTTTCAGTGGGCTAACAAGAGTATTTGGAACAATCCTGGAACCAGAAAAGAGAGAGAGAGAAAAAAGAGATGATCAGTTGGGTTTCATCTCATCATTGGTGCTCCATAAATGAGAACTTTAAAAAAAAATAATATCACTTTTTGATTATAAGTGGATTGAAAAGTACAGGATAACTAAAAATTCTTCCATAAAGCATTGACTTGAACATATTCCTGAAGACACATAAATAGTGGTTGCCTTTTTAATGACACCCTGGCGTCCCAGGTGACCGTCCTGCCCCCGCAGGCTGACTGCATTCTGAGTGCTTCCCTTTCACCCGGGACACCAGGCCCCACGGACTCGCTGCCTCCTGTGTGTGCGCCCAGGCAGGTTCGGCTTCTCGCCAGCTTCGGTTTGCCCAGCCCCAAGGAAGGGTGTCTTTCATCATTCCTCACAGGCGTTTCTTGCCTGTTCTTCTCCCTCCCTCATCGCAAAAATCTTCCTGCCACCCTGCTCTTAAGGCTGTGTGGCTCTTGTCCGGGAATTTACAGTGGCCTTTTAAGCCATGGTCACCGGCCATGCTGGCAACCTCTCCCCCTCCCCTTGTCCCTTCCTGGGCAGGGAGGGAGGGAGGGAGGGAGGAAAAAAGGAGATGGGAATGAGAAAAAGGGAGGCAGGGGAGAGAGGGAAGCAGGAAGGAAGGAAGGAAGGAAGGAAGGAAGGAAGGAAGGAAGGAAGGAAGGAAGGAAGGAAGGAAGGAAGGAAGGAAGGAAGGAAGGAAGGAAGGAAGGAAGAAGGGAGATTGGAATGAGAGGGAGTGAGGGTCTAAGGGAAGTCCTGCCTTAGCACTTGGGCACCAGCAGCCCTGCTGCCCTTTTGCCATCCCCTTGCCCCCTCCTCTTGGCCTATCCCGATGGTCTCCCATTCTATCGTTAAGGATGCTTTGGTTACAAAGCCGGGTCTCCTCACATGGAGAGGGAGTGGGCCTCTCTCTGACCCACACACTTTGCCCTCCTGCACCCACCATGAGCAACCTGGCCAAGGAGAGTGAGCACAGCAGCAGCAGCCTCGAGGAGGAGGTAAGCGCAGCTAGGCACCTCCTCAGGGAAGTGGGGCTGGACTGGGTTGAGCTGAGGGATTCTGATGCCCTGGGAGCTCGAGGGGTGGGCTGGGCGCTTGCCCTCCGCTCCCCAGGGCTCTGGGCAGCCCACGCCAATGTCCAGGAGTACCCCATGTGGCCCAAGAGGGACTGTGAGGCTCCTCCGATGGACCATTGACTTTGCTTGTCAAAAGGTCACAAAGACCACATGACCCTGGGACACTGACTATCATAAATATGGATTAGTTGCCAAGCATCCAAATATAAATCACATGACCCTGGGGATGCTACAATGGTCATAAGTATGAAAAATGCTCATAAGTCATTTTTTTCAGTGCTGTTGTAACTTCAAACAGTCACTAAGCGAACTGTTGTAAATTGAGTATTACCTGTACTTTATCACTTTTTTCCTTTCTTTTTTTTTTGGTCATCAAGTTTTTGACACCTTGCTAGGCGACTGGTGGTACTTGAATATTGCCATATCCTAAAAGTGGTATAATCCGTGAAAAGGTTGAAAAGCCCTGTTCTAGATAGTTTAATCTGATCACCACCAAATTTCAAAGAGTTCTGATGTTCATACACTGTAATGCCCTGGAAACTGTTTCTGGGAAGAGAGACTCCACAAAATCTCATATTGTAAGCACATTTGTTACAGCACATTAGGAGCCACTGAAACAATACAATGTGGTTCTTACTGAGATCCACAACACAAATGCTCAATAGTGGCGACTACCTGTAGCTCAGGTGTAGGATGAGGTGAAGGTTCTTTCAAATGGATTAGAAATCAGCGTAAAACATTTCATTTCCTGGGATCACTGCAGTTAGCAATAGTTATACCGGCCCACACAAACTGAAACATCCTGGATTTTATCCTTGCCTGTGTCTGGCTTGAAATGGTTCAGCAGAACTTACGGAATAGTTTGTTCCGGTTTGAAACAAAACAGACTCCCCATTTCATGCACATCACGAGGTCCTACGTTTGTGCAACCACATGCTTCAAAAGATTTTTTGGGAGATTGAATTCAAAGTGCTGCACATACTGCTACATGCACAAGAATTATTGCTATATTTAATATGCTCTGAAACAAGGGAAATAATGTAATTAACATTATTTTTCATGGTTAGGATTTTTACTGTCTCCATATTTGAATGGCTGTATGTAAATTTGTTGTCAGGCAGGATGCCATTGCCAACCTAAATCCTATGCATAATACAACAATCCCAGATTGCTGTAGAGTTTCTACATTAATATAAAATAAGCCATCATTATTTTATCTTTTAATAGAGGTTTATTTGTAATTCAGTTTCCCACCAGTAAAAGAGAGGAGGAAGATAAATATGGAGGTTGAGGTGATGATTATGAGAACTGGAATATTTAAACTTGTCACTATGATCCTTGATCTCATTAAGAGGCATTCCCCTGGGCCCCCAGATTCCCTTTGAAGGCTCTCTTCCCTCCTTACACCTTTTCCTCTTTACACAGGGTCTACACTTCTTTTGAGTGACCGGCTCTGCAGTGTAAATGGCAAAAACCCTAGTTCAAGTGGACCATTTCCCATTTACATGTAGTCCTTGACTTACGACCACAAGTGAGCCCAGAATTTCTGTTGGTAAGTGAAAAAGTTAAGTGAGTTTTTGTCCCATTTTACCACCTTTCTTGCCACAGTTGTTAAGTGAATCACTGCAGTTGTTAAGCTAGTAACAGGGTTGTTACGTGTATCTGGCTTCCCCACTGACTTTGCTTGTCAGAAGGTCGCAAAAGAAGAAGGTCACATAAACTCAGGACGTTGCACCCATCCATAAATATGAATCAGTTGTCAAGCGTCTGAATTTTGATCACGTGACTCTGGGGATGCTACACTGGTCATAAGTATGAGAAACAATCATAAGTCCCTTTTTTTCAATGTGGTTGTAACTTTGAACAGTCACTAAACAAACTGTTGTAAGTCAAGGACTACCTGTATACATATTTCCATATGTTGTTATAGTTGTACTTTTTAATGTTTTGTATTATTTTTTTATTGCTGGAGTTTTAAAATGCAAACCACCAACAGTCTGTGTGAATCTGCTGTATGTGAATGTCATAATAAAATAAAAAATATGCATGCATGCCCCAAAATGTGCCTTCACACATGTGTGCATGCACACACATACATTTTAAGGTATTGATTTTCACGCTTCGCTACCAAGTTGGTCCCTTTTAATATGTTCCTGACAACAGAAAATACAACACAGCCTGTGTAATTGGTAACTACTTTGAAAGGATATAAGAATAAATGACTAAAATCTATTTCTTTTTTACTTACACTTGGGGGTAGAATACAACCACAACAGAGACATGGATGTTTCCAATATGAACACTGTCTCACTTTGTTGTTGTTTGGGAAGAAAAGCTTTGACAGTGAAATTCTTCTCTTAGACAATGGATCTCAATATTTCTTCTATCCATCCCAGCAGGAAGAAGATCAGATCCAGAGTTCAGCCCATCTGTACTTTATCTCAAATAAATTCCTGTATGGTTTGTGATGTGGTGCTTGCCTGTAACTTCAAACCACTTTATCAAGTGCTGTGGTTACTTACTAAATGCTAACACAAAAGAAAAACAATAGTCCTATAAAACAGTAGAGAAGAATGGCCAATTCATGTATTGAGCATCACATACTGCTATGTGTTTGATATAACATGAACAATCTATTGTGGCAAAAATGTATTTTGGTGAAGGAAATATGCCCAATACAGTATCTCATACTACAACTTTTCAAAGAACCCAAACAATGTTATTGTGTATCCCAATCAGCATAGAGACAAACCACTAAATTAACAAAGCAATGGTTTCTAACATATGGCTTGATCTAATTAGTATGGCCCCAGCAATTGTGGTGGAGAATCTGTTTTATAAGAAGCACACCCAAAATGTAGAAGGATACACATTCCTATTGTGTATATGCTTTGGAAGCAAACAGGTGAACATTTACATTCAACCCAATCTTATATCAAATTAATTCTTAAAACATAGGATGCTAGAAGAACTGAAGAAGATTCTTGGATGAGAAGTGAAACGTTTTCAAGGGTAAAAACCAAGAAAGTCCAGTTGGCCTTTTGAAAAGCACGTTTGGGGCAATCATGCCCTGGATGATTGAAAATCTCCATAGACATGCCAGAAGAATATTACAGGATCTGAAATTATCACACAAATTCAAGACCATTGTCTGATAAATAACCAAAAGTCACTGGTTATTTGAAAGCTAGTTTATATCTAATATTAGCATTTGTCTGATTTTCTATAAGAAATGAACTGATAAGGAATAGTTGATGAGCAATTTTGGAGCCACTTATTCATCCAGCCCACAGCTAGTTTGCCAATCAGAATGTCAAAGACACACTGTCAAATCATCCTTCCCTGGTAATTGTAACCAAACCTTCCTTTTTGTCTTGAGTCGGTTCCTAGGGTTGTCTGCTTAGTCATATGAAAAGTATCATTCAGAAAACATAAACATTACAGTATAAAAATGAAAATTATCAAGAGGTTTAATGTATCTTTTGTAACATTATGCCTTGATGTATCTGTTTTTACTTCAGACTTCTGTAATTAACAAACCAAATGAACGTTTTCACAGAATATTTTTTATTGCATTGGATATTAGTGTTACCATGAACTCCTTAGATGAAAGACAGATGACTACAATCTACTAATCCTGAAGAAAAGTCTCTATACTCTACAGGATTGGTGTATGATAGCAGCTGCAAGATAATTATTTCTGGACAGTTTTTATAACTGCGATGCCTTGTGGAGGATTACATTAAGATACATGCAGTTCAGATTTGAACAGAGGCCAACATTTTAGGAGTGCTACTCATTCTGCTGCTCTAATGGTACATGGAAATGGCCTTGGGAGATAGGGGGGGGAAAGCCTCAGCCAGAGGGATGGTTAGACGAGGTAGTTTAGCAAAGGGGA